TGTGTCAAAGGGCAAATTGATATCGACATAATTCAGGCACTTCATTCAAAAGTCAAGTGTACTCCAAGAATTGCATTTCCTTGGAGGATCAGTGCTTCTACTCCCTAGGTAACCCGCGTCGAGGGTTGGAAAAATACGGCGTGCTAAAATAAATCATGTTTTATGTTTGCAAAAAACAAAAAATAAATAACAAATGGTTATTAGATAGTGATATGTGGGATACTGGTATTTTCGTTGTTTTTTAGACCTTAGGTTTGCAGTGATTGGCAGCGTTTCAGCCAAGTAACGTTAGAGTAACGTTTGTACTTTATTGTACAAACAGTTTCCAGTGCATTAACACAATTTCGGATTGACAAATTATGGGAAATAGATCTCAAACAACCTATGATTGTCGTACAAGGCGTCAAATTAGATCGGTGTGGTTATCTCCCAAAACCCCTACATCCCATTTCCCCTACAACCCAGTTCCCCTACAATTAGTTAAAACAACACGCGGCATTTACCTGTCTGGCATTATGAACTCACCTAAAGGAGAGATTAAGGTCTGGAGTAGAGGTAGTAGAAATGAAAGGGGTAGAGCTTTAGGGGATTAGGGGACTTAAAGGAAAGTTAAAAAAAAATAAATTAATGTAAGTGTAATGAAAGATGCCTGTATGATGAGAAGACAATTTTTAGAAATTACAACAACAATAGGAAGAAACAATTATTACACTGAGAAACTGAGATGAGACGATTTACAGTTGAGATGAAAAATGAACATTTTGTTATAATGTATTATGAATTTTGAAAAATGAACATTTTATTATAATGTATTATGAATTTTGAAAAATAAAGCCTTTTATTATAATGTATTATGAATTTTGAATAATATCGTAATCGTAATTAAATATTTATCTCAATCTATTCAAGTTTCTTGGGTTGTTCCATTGTATGAAATAGGTAACAGACTAGGGATTAGCAGTACCATGGACCGTGAACTTTGTTGTCTTAAGCTGTAGGGGAAATGGGATGTAGGGGTTTTGGGAGGTTACCATCGGTGTCAGGTTTGTTGACCTGGTTTATTGCGTGTCACCGAAACCTGACCGCGTGGGACATTGCTCATTTATCAATCACTGGTGTGTCTGGTCCAGAATTAATATTTTACAAGCCGACGTCTGGTATATATGTGAGTGCGGTCGTAAAAATCAACCAACCGAACCATTCTAACGGTAAATTTCGTATACCCGGTTCTAATGGTGTCCGATCTAATGGTGATTATAAGGCTGAAACGCCGAGGTGACGTTAAATATTGACTCACTCACTCACTCACTCACTCACTCACTCACTCCGATGTAATGGGACCAGTTGGGTCAGTACATTGTTGGCTTGGACACATTTGAATTCTAAAAATCTTTAAAATATGTGTAATTCAAACTAACATGACATCATAACACATTCAAATTATTTATCAGCATACAATTCATTATGTATATATACGCCGTCAGTTTTACTCCGTGTGAATGTCAACGAAACTATAAATGGCAATAGCTCTTTGTGTCTCATTCTATAATATCATCACTTACAAGGAAATGATTCATTATATATAAATATAACCACTTAACTATCAAAAGTAATGAGACAGGTTATCAGGTTACTGTAGTTGATCCATGGACAAAGGTTTTCAACGAAACTAATGACTAGATGAAAATAGGTTTTATATATGCTTGCCACCCACGGAACGAGGGGTAACTTGACGTAAAAGCTTTCGTCAGGTACGTCACGGTGTCATGTGGGAGGAAAGTGTAGCGGATCTCAGACGTTTGCCATTTTAAGACTTGTAAATAATACTTTTTTATTCAATTTAATTAAACTTGTTTTTTTTTAAAGTAAAAATTTGCTGTAATAGAATTCGATGAACTACTTCGAAAACATATTATTACGCACAAGATATAATTAATAAAGTATTGCAGAAAGGTCAACTGATGGATTGGTAAACATGATCATAACTGAAAATTTATGAACATACATAGACATAGATAGATTTATACAAACAAAATATGAATTACCATCGATCTGAATAAATTCAAATTAGCTGAGCTGAAATAAGATGTGATTTGTCATATAGACGTCCAAATCAGGACACTGAATTAACGTCAACTGGTTTAAGACCTACAAACCTCGTCTTCTACACTCGCTGGTTTGTCAAATGTGAAAATAATAAAAAATATTGCAACACATATGTTTAAAGAACATAATAATCTTGGCATGTCTTCTGATCCAAACACATTCAACTCAAAATGGTCGGGCGCATATGAATTCACTTGAACAAAACGTTAATTGCCGGAAAGACCCGTGAATAGGTCTTCGGCAACCCATGCTTGCCGTGAAAGGCGACTATGCTTGTCGTAAGAGGCGACTAACGGGATCGGGTGGTCAGGCTTGCTGACTTGGTTGATGGATGTCATCGATCCAAATTGCGTGGATCGATGTTCATGATATCAATCACTGGATTGTCTGGACCAGACTCGATTTTTTCCAGACCGCTGTCATGTAGCTGGAATATTGCTGAATGCGGCGTTAAACAACAAACAAACAAAACGTTGTAATCTAAAACAATTGAAATTAGGCAGGTGTTTAATATGTCTTTGTTTACGAACAAAATTTACAAATTTTGTAATCAAATTAAAACTACGAGGAGAGCTTATTTCTGATTTCGGCCGAGTTTGTTAATATACTGAACAAAAAAGTTAGGGATGATAAATATTTAGTGAATGTTTTTTTTGTACTGAAGCACACATTTTCATAAATATATCCCCAACAATATTCATGATCGTTATTCTTTTGGTTCAGTATATATTTCTCTAATTATTTAATAACGCGACGGGAACGCGTAAAGAGAGTATGTGTGTTTAAATTGCTACCGTTAATTACTGGTTGACACGGCAAATGTCTTGGCTATAAGATGATTTTGCATTAAAACTGGTCATATACTCAACAACAAAAGTTCCTGTGACACCAATATTTTAGTGTATTTTTCAAACAAGTAAAGTTTGGTTTTCAATATTGTAGTACATGTATGGAATCAAGTCCCCAATACGCAACTGCTACAGAAAAGCATGCATTCCATGCAAAAGTTGACTTGTATGCAAGCCCCGTGAATTTCACTACCCAAGAATGGGTATAAAAACATGTGCGTTAACGGGATTCCATATGCATTGTTTAGCATCGTGCTGACAACAACCACTCAGAAAAACAACAAAATTACGCAATTATTCAACATTACGAAATGCCAGGCATGTCCGAAAATGAGCTGCGAGCAATGGTATGCTTCAAGAAGGATCGAGTCATCGTGATGTTGCAAGACAACTTAACATCCACAGAAACAACATTTGGTGTTTCTGGCAACGTTGGCAACAGACGAATGCAATCAGAGACCATCCTCGGAGTGTCAGGCAACGCGTAACCAATAATCGACAAGACAACTGGATTCGAACAACACACCTACGAAATCGATTCCAGCCAGCAACAGTGACTGCAAGAAGCATCCCTGGCCTTCGACGAATATCTTCACAAACCGTACGTCGTCGCCTCAGATGTGCAGGGATTGTCGCCAGAAGACCCGCCAGACGTCCCATTTTGACAGGAAACCAAACGTCAAGCACGTCTACAGTGGTGCAGACAGCATCTACGCTGGACGGCCATGCATTGGGGACAAGTTCTATTCACTGACGAGTTTCGTTTTCACCTCAGCCACAGCGATGGACGGATTCGAGTGTACCGACATCGAGCTGAACGTTACGTCAATCATTGTGTCATGAAAGAAGATCGGTTCGGGGGCGGCAGCGTTATGGTATGGGTTGGGATTACAGCAAGACAGAAGACCCGTTTGATAGTGGTAGAGGGAAATCTCAATGGACAGCGCTACCGCGCCTAGATCATCGTCCCTGTTGTTCTACCGTTTTTGCGTCGTCATGGCCCAGGCATTACCTTTCAACATGACAACGCCCGGCCTCATATTGCTCGACTTGTTCAGGATTCTATTCAACAAAACAACGTGAATGTCATCCCCTGGCCGGCTCGCTCCCCCGATACCTCACTAATCGAGCACATGTGGGATGAGATGGATCGGCGCCTTCGACGTCAACCACAAACACTCCAGGAACTTCGAAACATGCTCCAGCAGATATGGACAGATATCCCACAGGGCTTTGTGAGACGCCTGGTCCATTCCATGAGACGAAGATGTGTTGTTTGCATCGCAAACAGAGGTGGACACACAATTGACATTTTGACATGTTCATGTTTTTTTTTAATGAAAAACACGCATTTTCTGAAGTCAGTATGGCAAATTAAACCATTTGAACACTTACAGTAGTCTTTTATCTGTTGCAAACCGAATTTGTTTCAGATTTGGTAAAAAACATAACTTTGCAATAAATCTTATTCAATGACACAGGAACTTTTGTTGTTCAGTCTATAATTACCCTACCGACTAGACAGTTCAGTGCAAACTTTAACAAATGTGAACAACCATGAGATGAGGGACATTATGAGTGTAAAATCACATTTTGACTTATTATATTTTAAAACTACAGTGGCTTTAGACCATAAAAATACAATTCGTAAGATTCAATTCATATTAATTACAGAGATACATAGCATCAAACAGAAAGTCCAGTTTTCAGACTTTTAACTGTTTATGAAATGATTCCAGTTTTTTAAACAATGTCTGATAAATGCCTCTTTTAGAAGATTTCGAAACAAATAAGATTAATTTTGTACAGATAGCACACATGACGATTTATGCGGAAATAAGTTGAAGTAAGTTCTTTGTAACGTCACAGCACAATTGTATCTATAAGGTCCCTTTTCACCTAGTGGGTCAAAAATAATATTTTGAAAATTTATTACTATTTTTATTCGACCACCGACCCTATGGGTTGTTTTTTTTAAAAAAAGGCTAAAACCGTGTAATATCAAATATGTACCAGGTCATATCACGAAATCAGACAAATACTCACTCTTTGTTGAGGGAGGCCCAATGAAGACATCAACATTGCTGCTCTTCACCAAGTCTACACAAACACCAAGGGCAGTCTCTTCATCTTCGTGTGTGTCCAGCCAGCTGACATTCACACCAGAAGCGCCAGCCTTTTCTAAAGCAATTTGTACTGTGCCATTGGCTAGTTCCAAGGAAGGGAATATGTCGCTACCGGGTGAAATCGGCAGAGGTATTGCTATGTGTAGGGGATACACGGCTGGAAATATGCACGCGAATATCAGAACCATCATCCTCATTCTCACATATGATCATAACTCCTTTTGGCGCTGGATGCAGGATCTGAATGCGCTGATTCAGATGGTCTTCACATTGAATTACTTCACACTTATATTCGATGGAATTGACTCCGAGGTCAAAACTGAAATTTTGCATATACAATGTAGCTTGGCTACACCATAATATGAAAGACTGAATTCGATAATCGTTACCTATGATCAGTTACAGATAATGTCGTTTGCTCAAATACACACTGTCAATCTGACAACACTTCTGACAATCTTCAATGGTGAATGAAGTATGCCCCAGTCCTCAGGATTTGTTGAATTTGTGTCCGTCAATACTGAAGTGTTTCAGACTGAAATATGTCTCCCAAGACTGAAATATGTCTTCAATGACTGAAATATGTCTTCCAAGACTGAATCTGTCTTCCCGACGGCTACATCTGTGTACATCAATGATGCAATGGTCCAGTTTGAAATCTATGTTCCCGAAATGTCTGAATTACACATACAGTTGAGATTTTACATGACACAATAACAACCTGTTCACGTGGATCCATAATATTATATATCCATAGTGTATATTCACATAGTTCAGTACGCCGAGGTCACACTGGTCCTTCATTATTGATTGTTCAAAAGTCTGCATCTACATACGTCCAGCTCCACTGTGTCATTACTCAAATATGTCATACAACTCAAATAATATTGCATCTCAAGAAAGAATTTTCTGGGTTGCAGCAGTCGAAATCGTTTAAGTAATGAGAACTGGTCAGGAGCACCTGAGCTATCCATGTCTTCGGCGCCATGGAGCATTAATGATTGAAGACTGAATACTCCAGTTAAACATTGCAGGCTTATCGCAACACATAACCGCTTCTACTGACGGCTCGTGTCGTGAACTTGGGTGTTTTTATCCATTTCCGCTCAGCTGAAGGGATTATCAGTTCCCCTGCTGTGAAACCCCTCCCTAGCTGATAGCTACAGTGTCGGGTGTGACAGTCCCCGGGTATAGAGCTTGCCCTTGTGGCGGGGTGCAGACACTCTACCCAAACGGGTACTGTGCTGTGACGTCATGGTATTCCTGTCCCGGAAGTATCCCGGCACGGGCTGTCATACGTTTCCGTTCAGTCGGTGTTAATATCTGAAATTAGTCAGAAGTTTGCATTACATGTTTTTGCGATAATATCACCGAAGGATTTGTTAAATTTCGGTTTCAATTCTTAAATTGAAATTAATTTAAAATTAGTAAGAGGGTTTCATGAAATATAATTTGATATTGGATTTTAGGTGATTTGTATTAGCTATCACCCGAAGCTCTGGTTTGATTGAACACATGGGTCAATATAATGTGATATTGCTGGAATAGTGCTGTAAACGGCGTTAGACCATTTACTCATTCACTCACCCATTCACTCACTCAATCACTCACTCATTCACTCACTGTATGGATGCCAGGTCATAAAATATCCTAATTATTTATGCTTGTCGTTAGAGCTGATTGAAAAGATTCCAGTACACTTTCAGTATGTATGTAAGTTTGTTTGTCCCAGTACAGCGTTGATGCTCATGCTATCAGCCACTGGGTTGTCAACTTTTGTCAAGACCCAAATATATAAGAGGCTGCTGTGATGGAGCATAGTGATAGGACATAGTGACAGCCAAACAACATTTACTCAATTTACGTGTTTCATTGCTCAACGGCATGCTGCCCATTTCTGTACAGGCATTAACGTTCTATTTTTTTAAACAATAGAGAACCAGTGAAGATTCCGGGGTAGAATAGGTCTTCAGCAACCCATACTTGCCGTAAAAAGCGACTATGCTTGTCGGAAAAGGCGGGTGGTCAGGTTCGCTGACTTGGTTGATACATGTCGTCGATCCCAATTGCGTGGATCGATTCTCATGATGCACGGGCCGCCCAGACTTCTAACGCGCCGCGATTTGCTGTGCAGAGTTGCGTCCCTTGGGCACGCCAGAAACCTATGATTGTGGGTTCGAATCCCGGTTCGCCCCGATTATGTTTCTAGGTTTGTCAGCGCCATACCCGTGTTCGTGGGTTTCACCGAAGTGGTAAACGTCTGAGACCTTTCCTCCCACATTAAGCTGAGACGCTGTGATATAACTGGAATACTGTTAAAAGCGGCGTTAAACCCAACTCACTCACTCACTCGTACACCAACGGCATGGATCATTGCTAACAATATCAATCACTGGATTGTTTGTTGAAATAACCGCCTCTGAAAATAACGTACCTCGTGTGTCCACGACTATGTAAAGGAATTTACAACGAATCAACAAATTGTTCCCATTGAAAATTTAAAGTTAATACTTTGTTTTGGCACGTTCAATACATAGTAATATTATTGTTTGTTTAGTAATTTGATCGATATTAAGACAAAGGTCACGAGGAAATAGTAATATTGTATAGATATTTGTGGCAGATGAGTTACTTGTCTCACCACGAATCTATGATAAAAAATGTCTCCATCCTGAAACACTTCGAGGGTTGTATGTTTATCTCGATGTGCTGAAGTTAAAATATTATTAATTCTTCAAATCTGTGGGGTGAGTGAGTGAGTATGTTTTTTACGCCGCTTTTAGCAATATTCCAGCAATATCATGGCGGCGGACACCAGAAATGGACTTCACACATTGTACCCATGTCGAGAATCGAACCTGGGTTTTCGGAGTGACGAGCGAACGCTTTAACCACTAGGCTACCCGACTGCCCCCCCCAAATCAGTGGAGGGAACCGACCAAGTCATCCTCGATGCCAAACTCCTCGACTCAGATGTGCATGACTGGCAATTGAAATGTTCTTTCTTATTCTCTCTAATTTTCACCGCTCTTATGCCTTTTCTGCCCAATGAAATCTGTTTCGTCGGATAATTGAGACTGGTTATACTGCCGTTGACGTTTTACATTAATATTCACAATGTTGTATGCCTGTACCGTTATATGTTGGTTGGTTGGTTGGTTTGTTGTTTAACGCCGCACTCAGCAATATTCCAGCTATATGACGGCGGTCTGTAAATAATCGAGTCTGGATCAGACAATGCAGTGATTAATATCATGAGCATCGATCCACGCAATTGGGATTGATGACATGCATCAACCAAGTCAGCGAGCCTGACCACCCGATCCCGTTAGTCGCCTTTTACGACAAGCATAGTCACCTTTTACGGCAAGCATGGGTTGCTGAAGACCTATATTCTACCCCGGAATCTTCACGGGTCCCGTTATTTGTAATTTCCCATAGAGTGTTACGGTGATGTCGAACTCATCTCGGAACCCCTTACTTTTCAGCAGGTCAATGAATTCTATTATGAATGGGGACAGTGGGGTAGCCTGGTGGTAAAAGCGTTTGTTCGTCACGACCCAGGTTCGATTCCCCACATTGGTACAATGTGTGAATCTCATTTCTGGGGTCCCCCGCCTTGATATTGCTGGAATATTGCTAAAAGTGGCGTAAAACCATACTCATTCACTCTATTCATGAAGGAGATACGATGTGTAAAGATCTGAACTCAACAATGAAATTACCGTCATGAAAAATGCTCACTACCAAGCACCACGTAGACTGACTACAATACCCGAGATTCAATCGGATACAGGTGCTATAAAACATACAAACAGTATTTATATGATGACACTGACGCCCCTGTCGAGAAAAATAATATCGTGCAAATCAAGATGGCAGATGTGGACAAGGTTCTCAAATAAAGAATGTCGGATTCTAGAGATGAGAACCATGAGAGGAATAAGCAAATAGTAATTGACATACAATATGACCATTTGAATATAAATGACCGTAAAAAGCGGTGACAATTATATGAATGGATAACTGAAAAGCAGCTATGACACCCGGCGTTCGCGAAAAAGGGTAAACATGTCGCGCCCTAAGAATTTTCTGCTGAAAGTTCATTTTTTATGCATAGTCGCCTTTTACGGCAAGCATGGGTTGCTGAAGACCTATTCTACCCCGGATCTTCTCGGGTCTGTTCTGGAATAGGAATGAGTGAGTGATCGAGTGAGTGAGTTTAACGCTGCTTTGAACAGTATCTCAGTTTTATCACGGCGTGTCAGCTTAATGTTGGAGGAAAGCTCGAAGTGATGCAGGTCGTGTGACCAAAAACAATATAGAGTATTTTGTTTTATTCAGTGTATCAACAGTATTACAGAACACAACCGAAATGATGTGACGAAAGGTGTGTGGTGCGTAGATGGGTGTAGGTAGGTTTATCGTTCAATGTATCTAATCAAAGAGTGATGACACCAGGTGTTCGCGAAAAGATGATCGTATCTTGCCCCATGACATACATCTGGACGAAATGGATTTAATATGCGCTCCGTGTATCCGCAGCATTTAGTTAACCAACCCATGCTTGTCGTAAGAGGCGACTAACCGGATCGGGTGGTCAGGGTCGCTGACTTGGTTGATACATGTCAACGATCCCAATTGCGTGGACCGATGCTCATGATGACAATCACTGGATTATGTGGTCCAGACTCGATTATTTATAGACTAACGTCATATAGCTGGAATCTTGCTGAGTGCGGCGTCAACAACAAACAAACAAACAAACAAAGCATATAGTTAACGATAGTGTTAGTGGTGATAACAGTGAAGGAGAATTTCAACGGTTACGGAGTCAATAATTACATAATCTCATCGTCGGACCATCAGCCGCTTGAATTACTGTCTTGTTTTCCCCACTAAATTATCAGCGAGATCTACGTCGCCTACTGCATACACGAACCTTGAGAAGTACGTGAGGACTGAATCCCTTGTCACACAAACTGGCTTAATCTGAATTTCTACTAGAACTGTCAAAGTCAAACCAAGGCAATTTGGCCAAGATGGGAAACGACCAACTCATAAAATTAATCGCTTTCTCAAAGAATAACCATAATTCTTGATACAATTAAGGAAAGACTTTATATTCACAGAAAGTATTTGAGAAAAGTGGAATTAATACCATGTGGATTCTCAAAAACTCAAAGGATTTACATGTACTTGACATTTTACATTCTCAGGAAAGAAACAGGTGATTTTTCAACTTTGTACATCACTATCCCACAAACTTTTAAGATAACTGCATTCCTTGATTTATGGGGCTTTTCTTGCAAAACATGGTGACCATAGATACAGTTATATATCTATATTCAGAGGCTCAGATCAATTTGTAAAAAGATTAAAAAAATGTATCTGCTAAGTTGCCATCCATATGCATATGAATGAGGATTTTTGCTCGGATTGGCAAAGTTAAAACAAGGTAATTTGTCCAAGAAGTTGAACTTAATCTTCAGGTATATCGATGATCTGATGCCGTTCCATATCCTTCAAATAGAGAATTCACTTCCGTTGATTTACCCACCTGAATTAGAAATAAAGGAGCCCAGTGAGACCGCCCCATCTGTTTCATGTATGCATCATGTATGCATAAAGATTCAGTGGCAAAACACTCTCCACAAGACTGCATAAGAGGGATGACTTCAATTGTCCAATAGCGAAACTTTCCCTTCATGTCGAGCAATGTTCCAGCAACTCT